TTCTAAATTATCACGCAAGATGCGTAATTGATTCAGAGACATAGAGCCTCCATCGGGAAAGCCAAATGAACTGCACCATATAGGCAAGCACTCCATAGCTTTAGATCCGAACCGTTTTTCCATTGCCATTGTAACGGGGGACGTCAACATTCCCCTCGGTGTGGCATCTCTAGATTGATTTTTCCCCATTTTCTCGTACAGAACAATGGGCCTAGCCTCGTTTAGTCTCTCCCTGCTCTTACTCACTTTGGAGCGATCCGTTCCCCCCCCCGTTGGTTCAATATACCCAACGAGCGCGCGTTCTTGAAACGGACCGGGCCTGGCTGAAGGCACTAGAGATCTCTTCAGGGTCGCTTACAGAGCGATACTAACACGCAGCCGCTAGCTTAAATCTAGAACAAAATACCCCAAAAATCCCGCACACAGTCTATGCTGTGGCAATGAATGAAATACCCCAAAAATACGTAAATAAATCAAATCCCCGTGTACACTTAAGTGCTGCCCTGGGCTTGTTACGCAAATGAAAAGACAAAACTCACCAAATCAGGTTCTTTTATGGTCCTGTAGTCGAATAGTTTTTCCTGCGCGAGGCGAGCGGTGTCCCTCCTGCTTCTCGTCAAACGCTAAGTGAGGTAGGGAGGCTGGTTTTTTGTCCCAGGTCGGCCAAACAACACACGATCGTCTCCACGCCGAAAAAAAAATCCGACATAGAACGTGTCAGCAACGCCAAATTGTTGTGGAATTACATACCCCAATGAAGGAAAAAGCTCAAAAGGTATTTGTCTTAATCAGGAGCGTAAGTTTATTGTAACACACGTGCGGAGAGCTCACATACACAAAAGCAGCGTACATCAGCTCTGGCGCGGCCAGACACAGGTTCCTGTTTACATAGACAACACATGAAAGACAGTCACGCCCACAAAAGATGGGAGGGGGTCACAGTTTGAGACGGGCATCCGGAGGCGAGGCGCCATGCCTGGGGAGAGACACTCAGGTTGTTCCATGGGGATGCAAACAGAGGGACAATAGACATGCAGGATGTAAAAGGTCGATAGAGATGCAGACATACGGACCGGTAGAGATGCAAGATGCAAAAGGGGCAAGGGTGAGATAGTAATTTGCGTCATTGTCTGTCGGTGCAGGGGGGAGCCCGGCTCCTTCCTGCAGGTTAATTGAATAGAGCAGCGGGGGGGGGTGAGTTGGCGTCCTTGAGGCTAACCAGCTTGCCATAACAGTACCGCGAGGGTACTGCAGGGGGGCCGCGGGAGGTCATAAAAAAAAAAAATATATATATAATTATTTAATGTTAAATTTATAATGTTTTGTTTGTAATATTAAAATATTTGTGTTCATTATTTGACTTGAATAATCCACTGTAATCATTTTTGTATTACAATGTTTGTAGCAGAGGCTATTTCCCCAAAATAAAATAACCAGAATAGCCTATTCTTAATGTTGTCTTCTTGGTTATTATTTTGGGGGGCCACGCAGACCCGTCAGATTTTTAAGGGGGCCTCGGTGTTACTGAGTTTGGGAATGGCTGCTCTATGTCATCCGTACACTCCGTCAGTGAAGCCTCCATGTCCCCCACCGTTGTTTTCAGTGTAGCAAGCGTTTTCCTGGCATGTGTTATTCTTCAAGCGCCGTTTGAGGAAGAAAGTAAAAAAAAGTAAATATCAATTTTAATCGAAATTGGCAGGAGCTCTCAAAACCTAGTCCATTGCTTGCTCAGCAGCGCCCCCCACTCCGGGTCTTTTGCGGGACGGAGTGACTCTGGTCAGTGCCGTGTCTCACGTGGAGGTGTTCACGGACGCGTCACTCGAGGGGTGGGGCGGGGTCCTCGGTCAGAGCTCCGTAGGAGGCTGCTGGTCGGACTCAGCCCGCCACATCAACCTTCTGGAGATGGAGGCAGTGCACAGGGTGCTGCTGCACTTTGCTCCTCAGTTGCAGGGGAGGCACGTGATGGTTTGCTCAGACAACACCACGGTGGCGTCTTATCTGAACAGACAGGGGGGCACCAGATCCCCCGCTCTCCATCGCATGGCGACAGTGATTCTGCTGTGGGCGGCGGTTCACCTCCTGTCCCTGAGGGCGCGCCACGTCCCGGGTGCCCGGAACGTGGGCTTTTCGTGGGCTTTTCGTCTCCTGCCAGTCTTGCTGCGGAGGATTGAACAGGAGGGGAGGTCGGTGGTCCTGGTGGCTCCCGGGGGCTTTAGTCCCGGGGGGTACTCACATTTTTAAAGATAGGCCCTTCTAGTTTATGTAAATATACACTGAAATAATGTATGTCATTCCTATTTCACTCTGTATCCTTTGAAGTTTGGGAAAAAAAACTTTTTTTTTATTCTTGCCTAAATAATTCAATGTATAAATGGCCTAAAAAAACCTACTTCATTGGAAGAAAAATTTCAAAGCCAATTTGTTCATTGTGTTGTTGACAACATCCGTGTAAAGTTTCAGACTTCTAAGTTTTACAGTTTTTATGCAGTTTCTCTCTTTTTAAGTAGTGCCATTCGGAATTAATTTGGCAAAATTTGTGCCAAACTGCTTTACTAACATTTCACCATCTTAAAAAGCATATGTTTTAGTTTTGGTACTTATAAGTTAAAAAGCTGTGATTTTCTTTTACATTTTTTCAAAATAAATTTTTAGTAGTGTGAATGCATATAAAATATGCGCAGCAATGTAACAGCGTCTTTACGCACTCTTTTGCTATGAAAATTAAGAGGGTTCCTATAAGTCCCACCCATCAATAGAAAGCTCTTTTTATTGGCTACTTAGACACGTCATTCAGTGCTAGCACATTGCGCTAGCCGTGTAACCAACAACAAGGCCAAACGGAGCCTGTGCAAATTGATGTAGTTCGTCTTTTTCACAAGGGTACTGCGGGCTGAAAACTGCTCGTATCTTTTCATAGAACCTCTCAATTTTAAGCTAAGGAGTTAAGGAACATGTGGATATGCTGTTTTTGGGGGTAAACAAAGTTCAAACTTGGTGAAATGTAAAAGAGCAGTGTGAGCCTCTTTCGGAGCGTTTTTTTTGCAACAAAAAAATGCACATTTTGCGATTATTTCTGAAGAATGGATTATACTTTGGGAAATACAAATGGATATTCTTTTTCAATGAAGAGTTATGGAGAGAAAGAGACTAAGCAAGGATGGGGAAAGTCTAATTTGTTGGAGCAGCAGAAGACGAAAGGTAAACTTATACAAACGTGATTTATTTTGTGTCCATATAATGCGTTATGTCTTTTTAATGCAAAGTCTAATATTGTTTACACTTACATATAAATATAGCTACGAAAATAAGCTTTAAAATGATATCTAGCTTGTGGCTTATGAAGTTCAAAATACATCTGCTATTGCCAGCGGATGTATTTTTTTTCTCGTTTGAGCTTAAGAGGTTAATGATCTTCCCTTTTCATGTACAGACTGTCAGATCCAACTTTATGCTGATGATACAGTAATTTATTCATCCAAAGCTAATATTGCTGATATCCAATACTCTATTCAAAATGACTTCAATTCAGTTCAATTATGGATACAATCTAACAAATTATTACTTAACAAATTTACTTAACACAGATTTTTTGCTATTCCAGAAGAGTGTCCTGTTTCCACAAATGAAATTAATCTTGTCTCCAGTTCCAGTTGTAGATTGGTTTAAATATCTCGGCTTATGGCTTGATCCTTCTGTCATTTAATATTCATGTACAAACAATTACAAACATTTCCTTTTCGTTTGAAATTACTTTATCAATCGATTAACTGTTTTAGTTTATCAAAAAGGAAGAGGATAATTTCTCAACTGATTCTCCCCATTCTTGATTACTGTGATATATCAAAACACCTCTGTCTCTGTTCTCCAGCCTCTGACTGTTTCTTACAACAGCCTGTGTTGGTTCATCCTTCGCTGTCCTTTCAGAACCCATCACTCCCTGGTGTACGAGCAGCTGTCGTGGCTCTCTGTCCTCCAGACGTCGTACAGTTTGCGTCGTGCAAATAAATCTTTTTTTGTAGTTCCAAGTGTGAAAAAGAAAGCTGGAAAACATGCATTTGAATTTAAAGCTCCGTCTGACTGGAACATTTTGGCGTTGTCTATTCGCTCTCCAACTTCTCTGCCTCTGTTTAAATCTGCTCTGCTACAATATCTCCAGAATTCGTGTCAATGTTTTTGATCTTAGGTTATGAGACCTAAACTTGTCAAAATAATAATTGGGAGAAAGTAAAGACAATTAATAGTATTATCTTTATTTAGTGTAATTACAGTACAGTTACAGTGTGTGTGTATGTGTGAGTGATTGAGGGTTTATGTGTGTTTTTTATGGTTGCTTTTTTTTTTTTAGTTTTTTTTTTTTTTTTATGATTTTCTTGTATTTTTGTTTTGCTTGCATCTGTTTTGCTGTATCTGTCACTTTGTGAAATCTTGAGGATCCCCTCAAAAATGAGATTTGAGTTTGGTCTGAAAAGCTCTAATGCAGTCTTTGTCTCGGATCTGTGAGTTTGCAAATCGAGTGGGTTCAGGGGTCATTTTTCTGATGTTTTCTGATGTTGCTCTGTCTTAAATTATGTCTTAATCATATGGGTTTGAGACCAAGCCTTCCCATTCTTTGAAACAAAGTCCTGTTCTGGCTCATTCAATCACTTCTTTATCTGAATCTGATGTTTTCATCTTGGTGTGGATCATCCTCAAATCATGGTCAGAACAGGTGCCTTTCTGAGTGGATTTTTTGTTCTCCTTGTGTATGCCTTGGTTTCCTCCAGGTGCTCCAGTTTCTCCTTCCACTAAAACATGGGCAATAGGTAAAATTCTCCAGTTCTGGTCCTGATCAAGCCAATAAACATCTGGAGATGGGTCCAAGGACACTGTACTACAGCGACCAATGCTACTGATAGAGGCCCTAGTTGCACTTGAAGGATGGGTCAAATGCAGAGGTCAAATTTTCCGACGGGACAATAAAATGCACACTCGTCTCCTCCAAAGACTCTTCCTCCACGAGGATGTGGGTCAAATACTGTACTGTGAGAAAAGTTTTGTACTTGTGGAGAAAGGCGTTGAAGGTGTCACACCTGTACTGTACTCGAGTAAATGTTTAATCCTGTGGAGGAGGGGTGGTGGGGAGGTCACATACTTTGATGTGAGAAAAGATTTGTTCACTTGGAGGAAGGGGGTGGGATCAGATAATGTATGAATTTTGCATAGTTTTACCTGTTTGGTGTAGTTTTACCCTGCTGGGGTTAACACCACAGATGTAACTTTTTCTGCCGATACTTTCAGAAATGTCAAAAACGTAAAACGTAGTTTTCTGCATTTTATAGACGTGTTGTGGAGGATATCATAAAACCTCGTTCTCATAAAATCAACTACATGGAAGTTATCACATATTATTACCATGAAACAGGTCTCTGGAGACCCTAACGCCACATACGGGTTAAAAAAGTTGATTTGGTGTTTAGTCGCTCTTTAACTTTCTACAACATTTATGGACATTGGTCTCTCCCTATGGACCAATTGATATGTGTTCTATATTTTTTTGTGTCTTAACTATTGATTCTCTGATCTGTGTTGGTGATTTCAATGGTTTTGTTAAGTCCTCTGAGGTGACCACTGTTGTGATTTAGGGCTATACAAGAATAAGTTGCATTGTCGTGGGGTGCAAGCCCACCCTGAGACCTTCTCCAACTCACACTCTTGTCTGCTGTCGTTGTGCCCTTGGGCAAGACCCCACTTTGCCTGAAGCCCCCACTTAAAGATCAAGGCTGTGCTCACACTGATAGAGCAGCCATCCTCCTGTGGACTCGCCACCTGCAGGAGGATCAGTGAGGGGCTGGTGCTCTGACTTTGTGACCCCAACCCTAAACCAGAAATGGATTAAGGGGAGGAAGATGGATGAATGGTTTTAATTAGTCTTTTATCGTGCAGCACTTTGGAAACTGTGTTTATGAAATGTGCATGTGTGAAGTGGATTGGATTGGATTAAAAAATAACTATTTTAGGCATATTTTATGTTGGATAAATTTCATACTTTTTCAAATCGCATCTCTATTCCATCGTGTGGTCTTTGTTGACCTGGACTTATAGGTGCATGTCCTGGTCAACCCCACCCCTCAGTTACATGTGCAATGTGATATTTTCAGGAGGCCCAGCGGGAGAATGCATTCCTCAGGGCTCAGTTCTCGGAGCGCTCAGACTGTGCCACTCTGGAGAAGGCCGACGCAGACCGAAGGCTTGGGGCGGTGGAGGCTGAGACCAGACGCCTCACTGACAACCTGAGGGAAACCATTGACCGTCACTCAGAGGAGATGAAGAAACAGGAAGAGCGGGTTAGTGAAGCAAACACTTTCATAAGTCTTCAGCTGTGTTCACACTGGACTCAACTTCGACTTCAAAAGCGTCAGGTTTGCTTTGAAAATGAATGGTGATGCGCGTCAGGTGACGCCAAGAGGCCCCGCGTCACTTGTCGCGCGGCAAATGAATCAAAAGACGTGAGCATTATGCGCGCCACTCGCGTCTTTTTCAGGGTCAAAAATCCCTTGACGCTGAAGTTAAGGGATTCTTAAGGGTTAAGGGATCTTGCGGCGGATCGGGCCGCCGCAAGATCCTTCGTCTCGTTAAGAAAAGCAGAAAATCAGGAGAACCAGCCGCAGAGGGTCTGTCGTGGAAAGAAGTCATGTAGCTGCTGCTGCTGTTTTGTTGTCATTATTGTTATTATTAGCAATATTATTTGTATGAGTAGTAACGTTCTCAAAATCAATGTACACGTTCTGTGAAGTAAAAGTAATTTATTTAATATAAGAACAAGCTGACACTGAGTCTGGCTCAGACACAGAGCAGACTGCTGGACAGCAGACAGATAGACAGGCGCTCCTTCGGAATCAAGTGTCTAGTTAAAGTGTAGTTGGTGTCCAGGCGCCTGTAGTTGGTGTCCAGCAGGCGATGTGAGCTCCAGGCTGGCGATACGGGGTGCAAGTACTTAAACGAGTGACATGCGGAAGTACCACTGAAAGCGAAACTCGTACTGTACGCAGCTCCTGGAGTAAATGGTGAAACTCTGCAAACACTGCAGTTTTGAACCCAGAACACTTTGTGTAGAAGCAACGACAACGTAGTATGGCTTTATGTAACGACTAAAGGCAGCTGCTCTCTGGAAATCCGTCATAGTCTCTGGACTACCGGCAACAGAGAAGCTCCTCCCAACAGGCGTTAGGCATGTCAAGCGCGTCAGGCACCAAAATGACAAAAACAAATCAGCGTCAAACAAGGCGCGTCACAGGTGTTTGGAAGCTTTTGGTGTGAACACAGCTTTACTGTATATTAGAATATAGACAAACAAACAAATGGATCCTTATTCACATGACTAACTTTTAGCTCCTTGTGGTCTTCATCAGGGCATATAGAACTTTTATTCAGAAATTTGTATTTCCATTATCATGTAATACAAAGTCACAAACTTTGTCATGGTTCTCTGTCAAAGTCATGGTTCTCTCTGCGCTTTAAACAGAACCCTGAGACTATCAAAGAGTAGGTGCATTTATACGGAGACTTGATTACACACAGGTGCATTCTATTTATCATCATCAGTCATTTAGGACAACATTGGATCATTCAAAGATCCTCACTGAACTTCTGGAGTGAGTTTGCTGCACTGAAAGTAAAGGGGCCGAATAATATTGCACGCCCCACTTTTCAGTTTATTTGTTAAAAAAGTTGAAATTATCCAATAAATTTCGTTCCACTTCACGATTGTGTCCCACTTGTTGTTGATTCATGACAAAAAATTAAAATTTTATATCTTTACGTTTGAAGACTGAAATGTGGCAAAATGTTGAAAGGTTCAAGGGGGGCGAATACTTTTGCAAGGCACTGTATGTTCACTTAAGCTGTCATTTATCTTTCCATTCAAACAACAATTTACAGAAAAATATGGCATAATTTTGCCAATAGTTTGAAATGTGATTAATTACAATTAATTAATTTTTAAGCTGTAATTAACTCGATTAAAAAAATTGTGTGTGTGTGTGTTAATGGCACCTGATACATCATAAAGCGTTTGAGTTTACGCACGCAACTGTCACGTTTTGGTGAGCGACGCGACCCCTTGCATTCACAATTATGAAGGCAACAGGCCCTTACCCCAGTCGGGGCTCTGGCCTAATAATAAAGCTTTATTATTTCCTTATTAATTCAAAGGTTAAGATAAAAAATATATATATATAATTAACTGTAGTTTTTTCCCTAAAGAAAATACTAATCCTCTTTATTTTCTTCTTGCATGTATATATTTTCTTCATATCTTAATTTATTTTATTTTATTTTTAGGCCCAATCCTCGACTGGGGCAAGGGCCTATTGCTTTCACAATGGTGAATGCATGGGGTCACGGTGCGTGACGGACGTGTCAGTGCCGTAACTCATCAAAACGTGACGGCTGCGTGCGTAAACTGAAACGCTTTAAAATGATGCATCATGTCCCATTGAAACCTATATTGTTTTTGCTCGGAGACGTTCGAAAAATTATTCTGCACTCCCAACTCGTTCACAGGTCTCTCATTTCCCCTACGCATCTCATCCCGTGGAGCCCGATCTGGTGCATATGCATCAGCAATCTGATGCATATGCAAACATTAGCATTAGCGCAACTTCTTGTAAGCTGTACAACAATCACTGATGAAATGGTACAAAAGCAACGCACTGCTAACAAAATATATAAGTTAAAGAATACCGCTAGTTTTGCGCGCAAATGTATTAATTTAAACTAGGGCCGGGACTTTAACGCGTTAATTACGATTAATTAACGGCACAAAAATTAGTGCGTTAAAAAAAATTAACGCACTAATTTTTTTAACGCGGTGGAACGCGGTGGAAAAAACGCATGTGTTTTTTCCACCGCGGAACGTTCGTCACTCGAGGATATGTTTCAGACGGACCGATTATACTGGCGCACCAACTGAGCTCTGTGACTTTTCTTGTTCAAAAGTACATTATAACAAGCACAGACCAACTTCAGCGGTCTGAGTAGTGAGTGAGTGAGTTAGAGACGGGAAAGGTGTGTATGGAGCTATGGACACACTGTGTGGAGGCGGAGCAGCAAGCGACTCCTCGGAGGAGGATGCGAAGGAGGAGCAGCGACTCCTGTGTGTGAGGAGGCGGTGGAGGAGGAGCAGCTATGGCAGAGACACTGGTTTGTGAGCTGCTATTGCTGATGTTTTAGTTCAGGGGTGCTCAATACGTCGATCGCAATCTACCAGTCGATCGCAAAGGTAGTATTGGAAGTTCGCATTACATAAACATTTTTAAAAAATACGTTTATGCATTTGCAGGTGGACCGAGATAACCGGAGTTTTGCGTTTTTGCACGCCACAGTATGCTCCCAAAACGTGCAACCTCTGATCACTGAAGCATGGATCTTACTGCCTTAAGAACTGTTCACTGCAGCGGTTCACAGCAGCGATCCTCGCTCCACATCAGAGAGCAGCAAAGTGATCAGGCAAAAAAACAGGAGCTAAACCAGGATCAAACCAGGGCGAAGGACTGGGGTCAATGCTTTTAAAAATGTCTTCACCATGGATCTATAATAACACGTCTTCACCCTGAGTTTCTACTATTACTCTAAGTGCCGCTACAGAACGAAAGTTACGAGTGTAACCACGTCTATGAATCCTGGATGACCGCCAGAGGCGGTGCTTAAATGCAAATAATTTCATAAATCATGCGGTTTTGCATGTACATCAACATACTGTACATTGTAGATGTAAAAACTCCTCATTATATTTAGAAATATATGTTTTTAGGCCTGTCACGATAACAAATTTTGCTGGACGATTAATTGTCTCAGAAATTATTGCGATAAGCGATTATATTGTCGTTCTGAGATCATTTGCATCGATTAGAATGATAATGCAGGTACACCTTTTCAAAGAGAATAAACTTTTATTTTTAACGAATATTTAACGCTAGAACACAATAAATTAACAAACAACCAAAAACAATAAATAACATAGACTCAGTCTCTTAACAAAAAATGACCAGGAATAAAACTGCCAGGACCTTTGTAAAGAAAATATGAAACAGATGCCTCAAATGTCAATAATTTCTCAGACTTTATGACAGATTACAAGAAAGAAATACCAACATGTTGACTTTGTGTGGCTTAAGACAGGATCTCTCAGGAGTAGTCCCACCTCCCCACACACCACCAGGCGAATGACAAGTGACTGACATGTGGGTTCACCAATGGGGCGTACAGAAGTCCTGCTGCGGTAGCGCCCACCGGAAGTAGCGGGGCGGGCTTTGATGCTAACAGCTAAGCTAGCGGGTTTTTTGTGTAAAGTTCTACTCCAAGAATGCAAGTCTGCAGCATCTCTGTGTTCAGAGACCTTCTAGAGACTTTATATAACCGCAGTATGTTTTCACGGAGGTGCGCCATAAGTTTATTTTATTGGTATGGTACGGTACTTCTGCATCGGCGAACACGCTAACGCTAGCTGCGCTTGTATAGTCACTAATCAAGCCTGAATGAGAACTCAGCTGCCGGCATATGTTCACAACTACTGTGTCCCCCATTGTCAATCCTGGTTAAGTCCTGGTTTAGGTCCTGTTTTGGCTGTATTTTGTATTTTTGAGTAATTTCCGTCTGCTTGCTAGACCTCTAATGTTCCCGTGACCACTTTGCGGCTCTCTGACCCGAGAGCGAGGGGGAAACAAACAAGCTGCAAATGGGATTTATCGCGGCCAGAAAAGTTATTGAGCAAATTTTATTTATCGTGCGATTAATTGATTTATTGACTATCGCGACAGGCCTATATGTTTTGCATTTTTGTAGTAAGTAGATCATTTTGACTTGATCATTTCATAAGTGGCTCGCATGCTGAAAAAGTGTGAGCACCCCTGTTTTAGTTCCAATGCACGCATCAAAAACGTATTATAAGCTTTTATACTCACTTCGAGTGCAGTGGATTTTGGGCTTAAGAAGTGTATGTTGTGGACAGTGTGTGTGGAGGCGATGACAAACGTTATTTGATGGAAAGAAGTCCGTCTGATCCTCCACAATGAACATGTGTTGCTTAAGCTTATGTATTCAGTCATTATTCAATGGTAAACTAAAAATCCATGTGAAAAAAAATTACTTCTCACTGTTCTCAGGACAAATATTTATATGCGATTAAAATGCGATTAATCGAGACTAATTAATTACAAAGCCTTTTTTAATGGAGTCCCAGCCCTAATTTAAACGTTTGAATATATTCGAATATTTAATTATAATTTATTATACAGCTCCTCACAGCAGCAGTAGAATGTAGTGTAATTGCAAAACGTTCTACCCATAATTTTTTCTTGATAACAGAACTCTCAAACCAATAATGGCCGCTGCCCTTTGGCAACGCAATCTCCAATTCCGGTGTGTAAAATACAAACATTACTCTGCAAGTACAACAAGCTTTCAGCGCCTGTCACTACTTCTGTCTGTGCAGAGAAGCTAGTGGAGTTTAAATGTTAATCGGAGAATACATAAAACATATATACATCCTTAACACACATGCACGGAGGTTTTCAGAATTATCTGTTAACGTTTTCATGACAAAAACACTGTTTTAATGTGACAAAAAACAATCGCGATAAACCCGGAAGTAACCATTAACATGAAACGGACATTTTAGGATACATTTGAAGAGGATCTGATGATGGATTTAGGTTCGGTATATAAATGGGTAACTCACCGCTGATTTTCATAATTCTTTGTTCAGTTTTAATTTAGTTCCAGAGAGTTTTTGAACTAGCTAGCTTAGCTGTTACCCGCCTAGCACACCACAGCAAAACCTTTGGGAGCTAGCTATTTTATTTTCAGTCATTAAATACATTTCGAATATTAAGGGCTGTCTAATATTCGTTTGAATATAAATATTTTTTTATTATTATATTAGATTTTCAAAGTCAAAGCCCTAGTGTTTACCAGCGCTGTAGAGGCTAGAGGACGCGGCTTGTTCGCTCCTCGTTCTGTGAGTGGAGGAGAGCAGGCGTCACGCTCTCTACTCAGCACTTTTTACGGCCTGAATCAATGAGCTCAAGTTTTCAATTAAATTACGGATTATAATAACATTTGTATGTAATAAACATTTTTATGAAGTCATTAGAAAAAAAAAAATGGGTATAGCTTCTTTAATTTGACCCCCTGAACATGCATGTCGGAACCGGCAAAAAATTAACTTTTTTGGTGTTTATTTTTATGGTTCTAAAAGAATGCCAGGACTGCACACCCTACAAAAGTCAGTTTAGCCTGTGGGAGAGGGTTCGAGGTCAAGTTTGTTGTAGAGCCACAAAATTTGGTACACATGTTCAAGTCAAGACATGAAAAAAAAGTTACTTTATATATAGAAACGGGAAGCCTATACATTTCATTGCAAAATGGAAAAAAGGAAAAAAATCATCACATCCTTGGCCTTTTCGAATTATGCATATATATGTTTCTTCTTTTTGTTTTGTTTTGTATTGCGCATGTAATTCGAAATAAACACTACTACTACTACTACTACTACTTTTCACTGATTTGCCTCAAAATCGCTCCACATCGTCTACCTCAAGAACCATCAAAATGACTTCACAAAATTTTGATTAGTGAAACGTTCGAGCAGCGGCCATTTTTGACAAGAGCAAATTTGCTCCCGTTTGCACATGCAAAGTCTGATTTGCCCAAAACTTGAATCTACTGTTCAACTCCAGGGTCTAGGTCATGTGAAAGTAAAATATTTGAAATTGGCCCATTAGCGCCCCCTACAGACCGTAAAGTTTTACATGGGGACAATCACATTTAGTTTTGTCAAAATGTTTGATATTTTGCACATAATTCTGTTTTGTCCTCTTGATTTAAAAAAAAAACAAAAACTCAATGACACTCAAGACTTATTTTCTACCCTGTTGCCGTGGCGGTGTCAAACACTCCCCATTCTGTGTCAATGGGAAGTACACCTCGCACAAACATTAAACCATCGATTTGGCTGAAAATCGCTCCACATCATCTCAACACATGTACCAGAAATAGTTGTTCATAGAATTTTGATTAGTCACATGGTCATCCAATGGAGACTATAATATGGACTCACTCACAGATTATACATGTGGTCCTGTTGTTACATACAAAGTCATTTCATTTCATTTTCAACCCCTTTATTAGTCCATTTCTGGGTTGTGGGGGGTGGCAATGAGAGCTGCCACCCAATGCTCATAGCACCAGCAAAAACAATAGCGAAGCTGTTTGAGATCATTACATGTGTTTCTATGTGATAGTTCTAAACTCATCGTTTCAACTCATTTAACTGTGATGCTGTGAATAAAGACAGTTCTTGTTGGAAACAGTTATTATTAAAGGGTATTCAGCACAAACAGCAAAACAATAAGTGGTAAATATCTGAGACAAATATGAACTCTTTACAAGTGCAGGAGGAATGCAACAGACGCGATAAGCTACGAGTGCAGACTCAAACAAAGACAGGAACAGTGCAAAAGAAACGACTGTACAGTTTATAAGTTATATAGATGTTAGATATGCAACAGGACTCTAGTCCACAGTCTCCGCGCATATCAGGCTCTGCCATGAGCCCAAACAACTTTTCCTTCGGTTCCTTCAAAGCGCAAAGCAGTCTGCTCCATAGTGCCTCGTCCATGCTCCTGCAGCCACTCCATGCTTCCTTCCAATACACACACACACGGCCCAATCACAGCGGAGCTTGTCTGCAGCGACCTTTACGCAGTTAGACATTTTCAAGGGTGCGTGGCAGGCTACGTAAGGGCTTTGCGGTGATCCACGCGTTGCGCAAGTGACGTCACGTCACCACCGTAAGGTCCGCGCCGCGCGACTATAGACTAGGCTTAATTGTCGTAAGCTGAAATGTATATTTGCACTGAACTTTGACCTTGAGTGTGCTACTGTTTATCATCTATATGGTAATTTCCTGTCATCACTACACATGAAGGACAAGAAAGTTATTATATTCTTCTATCCTATACAAGACAGCCTTAAGTTAAATCGATCACACTGGTCTCTTTGAACTACGACTATATAGTGTGAAGCTTGAAGAGGGGGAAGCAGACTTTTGTTTTTCATAAATAAGATATTGTGTTGGTCCCAACAGGAAGTGTTGTGAACGTGAAATGAACAAATCAGACAACATGCTGTGTTCATCTTATTAGTATATATGAAGATATTTTTGTATACATAAAGAGCCGTGTGTGTATGATACTTCTGACTAAAAAAAGCTGATCTAAAGATGTGACCGAGATGTATGCATGTGAAAACTAGTTGGTTGGCTTGTACATATTCTGTTTTTTGAGCAGATCCGCAGTCGGGACAAACACATCAATAACCTGAAGAAAAAATGTCAGAAAGAAGCGGAGCAGAAAAGGGAGAATCAGCAGCGGATTGAGACGCTTGAGCGATACCTGGCCGACCTGCCCACTCTGGAGGACTACCAGAACCAAAACAAGCAGGTGAATGGCAACCTCTTTCACCCGCCAGCTAGTTTTCTCAACACGCTCTAACTAGAAACCTGTTCTCAGCTGCAAGAAGCCGAGCAGCATGCCACTGAACTCACAGAGAAGGTGAAAGACATGGAGAGTCAAGCTGAAGCCACAAACTCACAGCTGCAAGAGAAGGATGCACAATTAGAAGAGCAGAAGCGACGAGAAAGAGACCTGCTCACCGCAATCACAGAGTAAGAATCTGGCTCATTCAACCACAGCTGCTTCCTGTCATAGCAGTCACCATGCAAAATCTTCCTCTTTTTGTTTAATTATTTGAGCTTTCAAACATGTTACATTGTTGTTCCATCAAAAACAGAGCTACAGTTGTCATTGGTAACTTCTGGCACAGTCACGTTCCCCCCATCCCTTCTGTCTAAATCAGACATGATCAAAACAATTGTCTCAAGGAAAAACCCAGCCCTGTGACCCAGTGACTTCCCAGTGAAGCTTGAGGGCCAATTAATTTGGAAGGTGTTTAAAGAGCTGTTTCTACCAATTAAAAATTTAATGAGTACACTAATAATCGGTCTTCCATACTGTCAATCATTGTGCTCAGCATGAATGTCCCCTTTTCATTCCGGTGGAACATGCTCAGTTGATTGCCGAGTCTGTTTATTAAGCCAGTTAGCAGCTAAGGCCAGTTCTCCGTAATTTCAGCAAAAAAATTGAAAAGTAGCTAAAGTGAGAAACTGATCTGGCGGTAGCAGAGTTGTGAAAGACAGAGGAGCAAAATAAAAAAAAGTGGGGGTGGGACCTAAGTACTTTTTAGAAACTAGGACTTAAAAATTAGATTTATTGTTTTGATAATGTTTTTTTCAGTAATTATTAACTGCAGGTATTTCGAACTTAAAATCCCTGGAAAATTGTCAAGATCACGTCTTAGCGAGCACTACACACCACACGCCTCATTTGAAGTGGAAAGACTTTCACTGCGGCGCACGTACGAAGCCGCGGGGATCATTTCAGATTCTCGCCTGTTGTAGAAACCCTGGTGCAGAGACAGCGCAACACACCGAGCTGCCCAATGACGCGGCTTTCAGTCAAAATACATAGGAAATATGCTTGCCCACAGCATTTGTATTTAAACATTAGACATCATGCAAAACCAACTAACATACAATACTGGGACAAAGTACTTTCCACCATTATCCAAGCACTGAGTAAATTGGTGTAGGGCTTCTCATGGCAGAAGGAATAACTTATTGCTACCTGGATATCGATGACTAACATACTGCATAAGGTCTGGGCCGGGGTGGATGGGGGGAGTTGGGGGGAATTCGGGGCGGGTGGTAGGGGGTGGGGGATGAGGTTTGCCTTGCACCCTTTTGTTTCTCTCTGTTGTCATTGTTTACACACTAATTTAATCTCCTTCCCAGTACTGTTCTATTAAATTGTACGTATTCAAGCTACTATAAGCTTCAATAGGTGGTATTCTAACACTTCTTGGAAAATTTATGGTTATTTTTTATTATTTATTATTTTATTATTATTACTTTTTAATTATTATTTAAATTTGTTTTTATTTGTTTGTATTTTATTTTTTATTTTTTTTCTGTTTTTTGATGGGTTTTTTTGTGTGTGTGAGCTGTACTCATCCCTGCACTCTCCTTGAAAATAATAATAAAAAATTGATCACAAAAAAAACATTAGAAGGCAGGGTTTCCTCCAGAGGGGGGGATGGGGGGGATCAGTCCCCCACTAGCCATGGCCCTAGGGGGGGATATCCCCCCCTCAATTTTCCTACACATTCATGTATACAATTCTCAAATCATAAAGTGCAAAAACATTACTGTCTAATCTATAATCTAAAACATGATGATAGTAAAAAAAAATTACATACAAACACCAGATCAGAAACTTCCGTACAGGAAAAATTTGTTATTCTTTATTCTGAATAGGAGTCTCCTCAGCTGAATAGCAGTTCTCTTTTTGCGGTCTTGTAGATTTATTTGTAGCATGATTTTCACTGTATATGAACTTGCAATGTTCATCCTGATTGGCTAAGGAAGAACCAGCGTATTGTGTTCTGCATCCTGATTGGCTAAGGGGTAATCTCTGTGCAGTGTTTCCTGTACATCACAGCATTCACACTGACAAATGTAAATCCATGTCTGATTGCTAGCAGTGTGACTGTAAGTGCTGTATGCTAATTTTCTCCTTGACAAAATCATGGACTAAACCCACAACATGGTTAGTGCTAAAAAGTTGAACTTCTGGACATGTTGCAACAATGACAGCAAAGAGGAGCACGGTGTGGAGCCAAGGCCTTTGACAAGTGATTTTCATGCAGCACTAAGCCCATTTCTTTCAACAAATGTTACAATTTCGATATCAAGGGCGACAGTAGCTCAGTTGGGAGAGCATTGGCCTTAAGGCCAGAAGGTCGTGGGTTCAATTCCCACCTCTCCACCGACTCCCTCTGATGACTGCTGTCGTTGTGTCCTTGGGCAAGACACTTAACCCCACTTTGCCCAAAGCCCCCACTGAAAGATCAAGTCTATGCTCACACTCAGAGAGCAGCCGTCCTCCTGTGACCTGCAGAGGATCAGTGAGGGACTGGTGCTATGAGACTTGGGTGGCATCTCTGATTGCCACCCCCCTGACCCAGAAATGGATTAAAGGGTAGAAAAGGATGGATTTCAAGGTTTCAAAAGGCTATAATTTTAATGTAGTTTGAGATTAAGGCTGTAAATGAGAAATATCTTCACTATGAACCAAACTTTGGGATGGATGTTGATTCGTCATCTAATTTGCATATTGTGACGTCATCAAGGTGGTGGCCATTTTGGAAAATGTTAATTATTGTACAAAGATTTCAAAAAGCTGTAGTTTGAGAGTGTATTTTGAGATCTGGGAATACTGTCAACAGTCAATGTGAATTATCTTCAGTATTTAACACAATGTGGGATAGGAATAAATTCACTGATCCAATTTATATATCATATTTTAGCACTGGTCAGCAGCCATATGGAATTGTATTATGTATTAGACCTTCAATGATCAAGATGGCACTGCTTATAGTTTACCAGTCATGAAATCTGCACTTTGGTTTCAATATTACCCTTTCAAAAGACCTGGTGGCATACAGTTTGTCTCAGTGGAAATGAGGCTCCAGAATTCATCGTTTAGAAACAAGCGATTAAATGAATGGGCTCAGAAATTGTCAGATTGTCTCAACAATAAACAACAGGCTCTTCAACACTTATGATCCACTTTTATGGATTTTCTTCCTCTCTGCCTTCATCATCATCATTGCCGTCCGTAAAGGCAGATTAGCGGTGTGTTTTCTTCCGCGGCTTCTGCCACGTCTCCCGCGTTCCCCGCGGTTGTTTATCCCCGCTGCATTCACCCACATGCCCGGTGTTATGACCCCCCTGTCCCCTTCACCACGTCCCCCGCCTGGCGTTCGCAGAATGTTTCCACTGCGGCCACACACTGCGGTAAAGAGGCCCGGGTTTTCGGAGTCAGCGGTAAAGAGGTCCGCACATTAAAAGCGGGTGGCCGCTTTATGTTAAAACGTGCATTGTGGCGGCTCATCCCCGCGGCTTCTCTTTCCAATGTTACTGTAATTAACAGCATAAAGAGGCTATCCGCTTTTAATGTGCGGACCGCTTTACCCCTGACTCCGAAAAGCCGGACCTCTTTACCACGGGGCCACACGGAGGACGTAAACTGTGGCTGACTGTGGACCAACAAAAGAGAACAAAATAGGGAATGTTGAGGTAGAAGCAACAGGCCCTTCAGTGCATCAGGTGAGGTTGGAATTTTGTAGGTATGCATGGGACTATGAATTGTTTTTAGAGATTGATCGTATATGTCAAACAATGTAATGAGCTACTCACTGTAGATTCTAATTCAATAATTTTCTCCTCTGTTTTTATTTATTATAGGAAATTGAAAGATCAGAGCATGATTTATTTCAAGTATCGAGAGCAGTTCCTCAGGTGAGGGCTATTATGTAGATTTGGATTAGGTTTAAGTCAGTATAGAATGAACGCAACACAAAACTCAGAAGCTCTGATCCAATTGATTTTGTTTTAACTATTAGAAAAAATCCTTAACTGCTTCTCATTCAGTCTACAGCTGAGTTTAGTGTAGAAGGCAACACACTATTGCAAATATAGTGTGTGATTACACAACAAATTCTGGGGGAGAAACTCTGGACCCCGTGTCAATGGGTGTAGACTCAGGTCGTAGTGAATGTCCCCACCAAGATTGGAACCAAACCTACACCATTGCTGTGGACTATTATGGCGCGGACTCCTGTCACTAATAATGTCTGTGTCTGCTTCACTGGACACCTGCGTGTCTTCCTCCTCTGAATCTGAGTGAGCCAGTACCAAACACTTCTCTGATCTCTGAAGACCTCTGGCTCCGCTCAGAACTACGGCTCCTGCTTTGCGTCGCTGCGCCGCAGGTGTTTTACAAACTCATTTTACTCTAATACTTTAAATATAACCATTCCCACAAAGGCCGCTCATATTAAAGGCACACATGTCCACTAACTCCTCGTCAAAAATATTAACAAAAACAAATTCCTGGCGGAAACACTGGAAGGAAGGCTGGCAGATTTGAAAGTGATTATGGACATCGTTTTTTCGTTCCGAAAGTCTTGCGTCTGACCACACCAGCCCACGGAGACCATGAAGACAAACATCTTACTTTTTTTATGGACACACATACTGCATCATGTTGGTTTTCTCTTGTCAACAAGCTCACGTGACGTTTGTGTGTACATAGAATGCAGCAACGCGTGCAGCAGGGCCTGGAGGACGGAGTTCGTATCCCCTCTCTAGACTTTGACAAACTCAGAGGAGAGAATGGAGCTCTGAGGGAGGAGCAGCAGCGACTTAAAAAGGTCTGAATCATAATAGTAGTTATAAGGCCACTTTTGTTCTTATCCAGAGTGTCTTTATCATTTCAACATGCAGTTCCCTCTAGACATTGTACTGTATCTATAAAAATTCAAGAAGCTTTTTTAATACAAAGATGGGGGTCAATGTAGTGACTACAACTCAAAGTAATAAGCGCATATTTGTCTTGCATTGAGATTTTAAAGACTACCTGCAGCTTTGTTTAATACTTGACAAGTAGGGTTGTCACATAGTATATCGGAGATTAATTGATACTAAAACTAGTATCAACTCTAAATACAAATTTGAGCAAGTACGCTTCTAAATGAAGTGTGTCTTTTGAAGATGATTGAGAAGCAACACCGGATGATGGAGCAGCTCGGCCATCAGATCAAGGTATGAGTGATCTGCCTTACTGAAAATGTTCATGATCCTTTGTAACACGTATATGTGTCCAGTCTCTAGAGGAGCAGATGTCTCAGGAGGAGAGCGGCTCACAGGCTCTGAGAGAAGACGCTTTGTCTAAAGAGCAGAGTCTGATGGAGCTGCGTACGGCCATGAAGGAGGTGAGAAGCAACATCAAATCTGCAATACTTACCGTTCTAACCATGACTAAAGAACTATATTTTAAAATCCTTGTCAGTAGTTCCTGGCTCCTGCTTTGGGTCACTAGTTTTCCCATACATGTGTTTTTAGCCTCGGCCACATCTTTTGATTAGCTTTTTCTGTCAAAAAATTGAAAGCAAGAGGACCACCCTCAGCCAATAAGCTCTTGGTCAAATGGTCAAATAGTGACAGTCACAGGGCTTCTTCTCACGTAGTACGTAGAAGATAACATGTTTTCTATTAAGACGAAGACTGTATGTTTTGGTCTGATTTGTAAATTTTACATTTACAAGCCTGTTGACACAACCTGAATGTGTTTTTAATCAAAAGTTGTGTACCCCTGGGATAAGGGACGCGTAATATGCACAATATTTTTTTCACCTTTTGTGTCTATGTTCTTTTTTTTCAAACTTGTCAATGTCTCTAACAATGTTTTCTAATCCATGTTGAATGTAGCTGATCTGGACCTCTCTAGCATATGTTTATCTTTATGGGAGGCACGATGGCTGAGTGAATAGCACTCTCGCTTCTCAGCAAGGTTTCCAATCCTGGTCTGAACAGGGGATTTCTGAGTGGAGTTTGCATGTTCTCCCTGTGTTTGTGCACGTTTCCTCTGGGTGCTCTAGTTTCCCCTACCACTCAAACCCTGTACAATAGGTGAAAATCCTCGTGCTCTGTTGACCAAGAGCGTCAACATCTGGAGATGGTTCCCATGCTCTGTACTATGCCGACCACTGCTCCTGACAGAGGCCCTAGCAACAATGAAGGATGGGTCAAATGCAGATGAAAAAATGTCCCTATGGGGACAATAAAGTTTAACTTTACTTATTATTTCACCTGAGCATGATAAGAATATTTACGTTGTCATTATAGCTTAAAAGAATAGCGTTCTAATAAGAGCGTTGCCCAGAGGACAAGGGGGGCTTAGAGTTGGGCGTGGTCTGGGCTGTGATTGACAGCTCGCTTGTCAATCATGGCCCACACAAAAAAAAGACAGTTGTCCTTGCTGGCTTAAAGCAATAATTTACACACCAGATTTATCATTCTACCCGTGTTTAACTATACAATTATCTTAGTGTGTGTAGACACCTGACCCTAAGCCACAGAATTATCTAGTAGTGGCTGTCAACTGATGTAATTTAATTTTAAACCACTAGATGTCTCCATCCACTCGCTACAGGCGTTTGTGAGGCGCAGTGTCTCAAAACCCACACTGCACCCTACACTCCTCTACGAAGTGTGCATTTGTTTGAAGTGCACGCAAGGATTTGAGTGCGCAGGCTACAAGCGTGCAAAAAGGCGGAACTGGGACAGTGCACACTGAGTGCAGGTTAGGTCATCGACTAGTCAAGAGATGGTCATTTTCAGACCTAAACTTTCATTTTGTCCGACCCTGTGGGAAACTAAATGAGTCGCTCCATACACGTTAAAATAAATGTATAATGGTTATTAGTAATTTGAGATAGCTGTATAATTTTAAGTTAAATGTGGGTAACTAACTGTTATCTGGTAAGTTTTTATACATTCTAAGTGTAAAGTTTAAATTGAATGTTATATGAATGCTTGCTTTAAAAAAGTTATGAAATTGTTAGCATAGAATAATACATTTATGCTTCTTTCCAAGAAACATAGCAAAACTTATTTACACACATACAGCATATATATCAAAACTTACACTTAAAGACCTTATGACGGGTTTGATTTATTTAGAAATACAGTTTTAATACCATTTTATATTAGAAGAGAACTACTAAAGGTTTCAAAATCAGTTGTTGTTTTTTTTGTCTGATCCCCCCAAATCGAAATAACCCCATAGCAACGCCCTTAGAAACAAAAAGCGAGTATGAGATAAATACTAGAATGTAACATTTCGTTGTCACTGAGATAGTCCAGTGGTTGTGTCGATGGACTGTCAGTCCAGAGACTGGGGTTCAAATTCCACCTCGGACACTTTTTCAACCTCAAAACGGCAATTTATGTGTAGTGAGCAATTGTCACCTGTAGAGGGCAGTATTGTGTTGGGCATCAGTGGAGAGAAGAGAGAAAAGGCAGTCCTGTGGCATAGATCCATGGTTTTCAATGCATGGGCGTAACCCGCTATGACGTCACACACAGGTTAGAGCATATACAACTTAAATTCATGAAAAACACGTTCTTTTTATAAAATATAAGATTTTTTTGCCGGAATCTCTTTCAAATTGACATTGTCATGCAATTTTGATATCCACTATTTTTTTTTTTTTTAAACCCGTCATAAGGTCTTTAAATGCATTTTCCCGACGTTTTGGTGTGTACCGCAAAGAATTATGGGCAATATCCTTTGCCAGATTCCGCTTAGATGCAGGCTACGGCGAAGTGTGGATCAGGGGCGCAAAGGGGGCGGGGCGAAATACCTCCGTGGAGAATTTGGACACCCTAAGCACTCGCACCCATCATCGGGAACGCGCAAATGAGTGGCGCGAGGGTGGAAGTCAGAGTACTGGGACAGGGCCTTACTGGTTCTATACCACAGGCGCAGAGAGACGGTTGCTGTAAGCAACGTCACTTTGTACACCAATGGAGAGGTCAAGCACCAAAATTCAAATGTAGTGCCACCGAAAATGCCACATTTGACTGTTTTAGGCTCAAAACTGAGATTTTATCTAATTTGCACTAAATTGCAAAAAGATTAACCAGGACATGTCGAGAGCACTATTAGAAACTATGCAGTTTATGAGTTCAAAAAAGCTGATATGGTGTTTAGTTGTCCTTTGAGTGGCAGACAGAACATGTGTTGTGTTGTTGCAGCTGTCAACTCAGAACCAGGAGCTGATGGAGCAGAAGCTTAGCCTCCAGGAGCAGCTGAAGCAGCCTGAGCTCAGGGAGGTGGGCATGGCCTCTCCCCAGCTCACACGCCAGCTCCACCTAGAGATTGCCTCCTGCCTCAGTGACCTACAGTCACTGTGCAGCATCCTGACACAGAGGGCACGAGGCCAAGACCCCAACCTGTCCCTGCTGCTGGGCCTGCACAGTGAGCACACCTCATACACGCCATACATGTTACTATAACTCTAACCCAACCTGTTAATACTGTTGAGCCTCCATAATGAGAATCATATCTATTGTGTGTATGTATATATGCATTAGGATAGATCACTATCCTATAGTGAACCAGTGTATCGTGCTACGAATCCTTTTGCAGCTGGATGGAACACCATCACTCCAGGGATAAAATGCTATACTGTGTTAGCTAAACCAGCGTTTGTGACTTTATCCTTTTTCAAGAGTCCATTTCTTGTCAGAGAAAGTGTCTTGTGTGTTCTGTGCCCAGGCCCTGTCCCGGCCACTGACCTGGATGAGGACTGGACCAGTGCAGAGATTCTGCAGAAGAAGCTGTGTGAAGCACAGCAGCTCCGCAGAGACGTGGAGGCGCTCCGAAACGTCATCCTGGACCGCTACGCACAGGACATGGGTGACAACTGTATCACCCAATGACCCTGCATCTAACCAGCTGAGCGAGTGGCAGCGTTTGAATGTCAAACAGGACCATTGCCTTCTTAAACCAGGACAGACGAAAACCCAAAAGACTTAGCTGAGCTTCCCTCCCCCTGCGACTTCATCTATTTCAGTCCAAGGGCTACACGGAAATAACTTACCTCTTATACTTGATCCTTACTTGTTTGTGTGTTTTAAAGCAGTCTTATTTTCCCATTAGCATTTTTTTGTAGAAGTCCAAGTCTAATTTATTAATGCAGTTTTCCCACTTTTGGGGAAATGATCACTAGTTGACAATCAACTGATTTGATTTAATCTTTGTGAGTTAAAGGACATATCTAATGCAAAATATAGACTTTTTAACCATGTTACATTGTTCCATATAGAAAACAGCCATGGAGAACTTGATGGATATTATCACAAACTTCTGGAAAAAATTGGTTAAAATCCCCTCTGCCCTCTTCGTTCCAAATGCTCTATTTGCAAATTCTGAACGGTTCCCTATTCTATGAGGTAATGAACAGGCCTGTTTTCTGTTGATTATCCGTTCATTACTACTTACCAAATTTTTCCACATTAAAATCCAAAGTAAATATTTTCCATATGTCCTAACAATGTACACGATTTGTCCTTTAACTCTGGAAGACTTTTACCAACTGCTATTCTTTCCAATGGCAGCTGTGCGACACAGGACTTTTGGCGTATAAAACCTTTTCTCTTTTAACAATATGTCCGCAATCTTTATGACCAAAGAACCTGTTGAGGAGCGAGTTTGGAAATGTTTCAGCTTCAGGCCTTGCTTCAAAACACCTGCCAAATATGTGCCTTTCGCTTCCAATTTCACTCTTTGGAGCTTGAACTATTGCACTGCTAAAAGGGCATGACTACTGCAGCTTAGAATGACTTTGAATGCTGGTTTTCATAATCAAGTCATCATAGTGGAATCAAATGTTTTGCTCATCAACAAAGTGGCCAAAAGCACAACCCTTATGTCTTTGTGCTTCACAAATTCTTGTGTGTTCTACTGCGTGCATCAAAGTAGTTTCAATGGAAAACCACTTAAGGAACATCTCTTTCTGCAGATGAAATGCAGTGACACGGAATGATGTATGCTGTTAAGCCCTCCATCAATTGCAATTACCAAATAACAAGGAAGCTGTCACATTTAACCTGAGGTTGATAAATAAGATAGACTTTATTGATCTCACACAGGAGAAATTTACAATTTGGTGAATATACTATAAAGGTCCTGCATTATTTTCAATACTTCCAAGAACGCAGGCCTCAAATTATGCTGAATCCCTAGCGTGTACAGTGTATAGCCAAATCTAAGTGACAGCTGACCTAAAACAACTTGAAGTAGTTTTGAACTTATTTGAGTATAATTTGCCTGTTTTAGAACCAGATCAACCAATGGACTTGTAAATGAGAGGTTATTGGTTGTTCCTTTTGGCAAAGCTTGCTTCTAGCAATTTTAGCATATTTTGATGGCTTCTGCTGAGGATGGCTGCGGACCTGCTAGAGACACAAGTGTTATGTTATAGCGGCTGTGTAACAGTATTAACCTTGAGTATTATTTGGAGTGTGTGTTTGCTAAGACAATTCGGCGCACTGTACTAAGGCCCTGAAGTTGTCCTAACTAATAATGATTAGTGAGAAGGTCCCAATGACAGTATTTTTTTTTTGTGCATTTGAAATGGGGCGAGTCTACGAGAGTATAGAAAGACATTCTTGATCTTTGTGACGTTCTATGTTGATTTGATTAAAAGTGTGAGCATCTTTATAAGAATTATGGTTTGATAATATTATGGACAAATTTGACATTTGAGCTTCTAACCATGTTCCAATATTATTTCTCATCAGTCACAGACCTAGAGACCTATTTTTAGATCCATGACCCAAAACTTCTGGCACAATCATGTAATTCCTCCCCCTTCTGTCTAAAAGTTCCTGTCTTAGTTCTGTGATACTGTATTGTACCACTATGGCAGCTGTTTTCTGCCAGTTAAAACAAAAGTATAGCCCATGAATTAGTTTTGGCTGTTTCTGTTTACATCCAGTAATTTTCTAATTTGGGGGAAAAAGACAAGATGTACTTCCTCTGATGGTAGCTTTGGTATAGGGCTGGCATTCTTTACCCTTGACACATCACCATATATCCTGTACTGTATTAATAGTATCAAGAATACGAAACAAGATCTTAGCCTCATCATAATGTTAAAGGGACAACAATAATCCTATTTCTTGAAAATGCAAGTGTACAGAAGAAGAAAGAAACTTCAAAAAGTGTCTAAATGGAAATTTATTAAGATAAGAATTCCTTTATTCGTCCCACAGTGGGGAAATTTCGATGTTGCAGCGCACATATAAGACAGTAGTAAGAGCACACAGGGATCACACACAATATATACAAATAATTATTTTTTACCCAATAATAAATCCTGTATTCTGCCATTCAAAACTAAAGTATTGCCTCTAATTTGGTGTGATCTAATTCAATGTAATGTTGGATAATTATTGCAAAAGCAGATCTAGTTTTTTCTATTTCAATCTTTGTCCAATATTCATGATTTTACATCAATGATCTTTCCATTTCTCCTACAAGTTAAAATGATCAATATCAGGTTTCAGGATTTGTCAATAAAACCAGAAAGTGTTGTGTGTTCCATTTCTCTATTGTTTATCAGAATTGATTCAAATCAGTATAAAGGTGACATTCAAAACTTTTGATTCAACCTTATTACGAGTTTTGCAGCTCTGATCCCCTAACCCGGGTGTGGAGAGGGCCGGCTGGATCGTCCCTCAAAACGCCTTTTTATAAAAATGTAGCCCCAAAATAAGCCATTGAAAACAAGTCACTTTCCAGGAGAGAAAGGGAAGCCTGTGTGATTAAATATGCAACATTATTGGGGAATTGGCATGATATTGTTAGAGGACTGAAGCCATTTCTCAGTTCGCGGGACCTTTACCCACAGCCTTAACTCAATTTCAATGAGTTTCTAAAGGGAAAAAGATGTTTATATTTTTGTACTTTGTTCTTGTTTGAATTTTGACTATTTTAGAAATAAAGACGTTAAACTGATTGTTAAATAAGTGTTTGTCTTTTTTTTTGAACAAAACTGCAAAAATAATTTCTAGTTGGGCTTATTTTTTTCAGACAGAAAACCACCATTTGCCTCATGCAGTGCAACACATCTTCCAATAGAGTTTATCAGATTGTCAATTGTGGCCTGTGGAATGTTGGTCCACTCCTCTTCAATGGCTGTGCAAAGGTGCTGGATATCAGAAGGAACTGGTGCACACTGTAGTATACGCCGGTCAAGCACATACCAAAAATGCTCAATGGGTGACATGTCCAGTGAGTGTGCTGACCGTGCGAGAACTGTGTACAAATACTGGCAACATGGGGCCGTGCATTATCTTGCTGAAGCATGAGGTGATGTTCATGGATGAATGGTACAAAAATGGGCCTCAGGATCTCATCACGGTATCTTTGTGCATTCACAAGGCCATCAATAAAATGCATCTGTGTTCTTAGACCATAACAGATGCCTGCCCATACCATTTCCCCACCACCATGGGCCACTCGATCCACAACATTGACATCAGCAAAGCACGCCACACATGCTGTCTGCCATGCCATCTACCCTGAACAATGCAAACAGATTCAACGTGCCAGACGCCATTGAATGTGAGCATTTGCCCACTCAAGTCTGTTACGGCGACAAGCTGGAGTCGGGTCAAGCCCCAGATTAGGGCGACGAGCATCCAGTTGAGCTTCCCTGAGACGGTTTCTGACAGTTTGTGCAGGAATTGTTTGGTTATGCAAACCAATTGCTTCAGCAGCTGTCTCAGTGGCTGGTCTCAGACGATCTTGGAGGTCATGGGCTGGTGTGGTTACACGTGGTCTGCAGTTGTGAAGCTGGTTGGATGTACTGCCATATTCTCTGAAACGCCTTTGGAGACTGCTTATGGTGGAGAAATTAACATTCAATGCACGAGTAACAGATCTGGTTGGTTGGTTGGTCCCACTTGCTTGTGGCATCTGTGGCATTTTGCTGTGAGACAGAGCTGCACATTTTAGGGTGGCCTTTTATTGTGGGCAGTCTAAGACACACCTGTGCACTAATCATGATGTCAGATCAGCATCTTGATGCACTAAAGGTTGCCGACCCCTGGTTTATACAGTATGTGGAAGCATACTGTAGAGGATCAGGATGTCTGTAGTTTCAACAAAAAAATAAAGTGCAATAGTCTACATTACAAGAGAGTAATAAACATGTCTCAGAGTGAGGGAGGTGGACACAGACAATACTATTGTTTGTTACAGGGATGAGAATTGGTCAAAAAAGTCTGAAATGCATAATGTCAGCCATTTGCTGGCTCTAAATCTGTTTAATTTGTTCACAACATTTTACTTTTGGGCTCAAACATGAACTTTTAATGCAATGGAAAATGTAGGTACCCGGGCTTTAATTTAGTCGCACTTCGAGGAGAGGAGACGCGGACTTTTTCCTGCAGCGGTGTATTATTAGGTGCACAAATTACGCAAAGACATGCATGGTCCTGTGCGCGTTTATGGTCTTGGGTATGGTCACGTTGCGGCTACGCGCTCACCGTGTTGTGTTGTGAGCGGTTCCCGGTGAGCGGTTCCCAGAGCCGCTGGATGCCGGAACACTGCGGCCGCTGAGGTGGTGGAATCCCGTTCGAGTACATACAGCAGGTGCCCCGCGGACACGCGCGCCCCCTCGAACAGTTCTCAACGGATTTACACTTTTCACAAACATTTTTTTTTGTATGAGGCAGACAGACCGGCCCAAATATGGGCATAGCCCGGTACGCCTGATGGCCAGTCCAGCCCTGGTTCAGGGTGATGAGCTGTGTTGCTTTTACGCCAAACATCGTTTTGGATTGTGGCCAAAAAGTTTGATTTTGGTTTCAGCTGACCAGAGCACCTTCTTCCACATGTTTGGTGTGTCTCCCAGGTGGCTTGTGGAAAA